TTGACCGGGTATGGCACGCCGGGCTTCTTTCCAAACTGAAAACCTATCTACCTCAGTCCTGAAAGTAAGCAGTATTGCTAGGGTGCATTTCTGGACTGGGAAGCTTTTGACCGGGATTGCTCTTCAAGCTAAAATTCCACCTGCCACCAGTCCTTATACCTAATCCTCCGCTCCTACCTCTCTGATCGTACCTTTCGGGTTCGCTGTGGTTCAAAATTTTCCGACATCTACCCAGTTGAAGCCGGTGTTCCTCAATGTAGCGTCTTGGGCCCCGTCCTTTATATCCTTTTTACCGCCGATATCCCTGTCCATCCCAATACCTTCTTGGCAACATTTGCTGATGACACCGCCATCCTATCATCCAACTCAGATCCAGAAATAGCATCTTTAAATCTTCAAAGCCACCTTTGATCGTCCAATATCAATTTCCATCCAGCAATTCAGCTTAAGCATGTGCAAACGTATTTTTTTACATATACCAAAATTTCAAAAATGGTCAATTTGATTTTGCTCAAAGTTTGATAAAATATAGGTATTGGTGAAAAAATAATGTAGTGTCAATTTCATTTAATTCTGCCTACCACTTTTTCTTATATATATATGCGAAAACGTGTTTTCCTTGATATGTCTGTATCCCTAAAACCACTCGTCGATTGGGCTCAAATATGGAGGAAAGTTAGGGATTGGTAAAAAGATTGTCAAGTATGTATGGATTTATCAAATTGTATCCACTACTAAAAAAAAAAACTTTTAGATCAGAAAATGCATTATGTGACACGATTATAGTTTGAAACTGCTCGTTCGATTTGACCCAAACTTGGAGAACATTTAGAGAATATTATAGAAATTACCTTGTATCAATTTCATTAGATTCCATTTAATAATTAAAATTAATATAAATCACTGTTAACATTATAATTGCTACGATGTGTGGAAGGCATTCATCATGTGGAGTGGGATTTAGGTTAATTTAATATTTTTATGGGGTTATAAAATATGATTTATAGTATAATTTTTGATCGATTTCGAACGTCACTGACATGATACTTATTGCCGTTAATTACATTTCATGTAATTTTCAATAAATTGAAATTAATTTTTACACTGAGTTAAAAGTCTGTATAAAAAAAAAATGTCTTATTTGTCATTGTATTTATTTGTAACGAAGTTCAACTAGCTCGTTGTGGTCTCGATTCCCTTCTTAAATATCAAAGTTGTATGATCATCACTCATATTTTAATATTCCAGCTTAATTAGTTTTGTTCTGACTGAAGAAAAGTATTGGTCTCGTTGACTCCGAACAAAAAAAAAGTTGAATTTTTCCCATGGATTTTTTGTTCCATCCATTTTACGAGTGAAAACATGGCTATTAAGTATATATGCTATACTGTTAGTGCAAAAGGTCGTATTTCAAAATTTTCAACTTTTATTCTATTCGTGCTATAGGTGACATCTTGTAGTCTTCACCTGTTAGCAGCTAGATGGATAACAGCAGAGGGCAATAATACTGTTAAATCGTTAAGAAACAATTAGTTTGTATGCTCTCCTGTAAAACATTCAATTTCTTATATGCGACCTTTTGTACTAACAGTAGTGATCTTCATGTTCAGTATGAACTGGAATTTTTTTTGTTTTAATCCCGAGTCATCAAAAATACAATCTCCAAATGCGGAATTCTTTCGCATTTAGTATTCGCTGATGAACAAAATTCGTGAATATCAAGGCATTATATGTTGAGGAATTACTAAATTTTCGAAAACGGCTTCTCCGACATATTGTAATATAGAAATTTTTTAGCCAATAAAACGTAGGGGAAGCTACACTGACCCTACTTGGCAGATGTTCTTGTTGGCTTATATCCAAATTTATATTCTTGCAAATCATAATTTTTTAATGTTCTGTTAGGGCTCTGCGCTAAATTATTGATATAAGTACATTTTTTTAATTTTAATTTACTTCATGGGCTTTGTCGGATAGGGAAAAATTTGAACTATATGCTGACCATCTATCATCTGAACTTACACCATTTACTGACTTCACGAACACATAACATGAAAACTTAGTACTGAATACGCTAGATATACCACTACCGTTAACACCACCCAATCTTTCCTTCACTCCTCCACAAGTTGCACAACAAATCAAACAGTTACGTAAAAGAAAAGCCCCAGGTTATGACTTGATAACCTCCGAGGCACTGCAGCAAACGCCCATGAAAGCACTAGTGTTCCTTATTACAATTTACAACTGTACTGAGGACAACTAAATTCCCACTTCAATGGAAATATTAATATATTAAAATGATACACAAAAGGGACAAAGACATTTACCATCCTTCATCATTCCGACCTATCAATCTCCTTCCTATATGTTCCAAAGTTTTCAAGAATTAATGTACTAATGATTGGTTGCCATACCACCAAAAAATAATTCCTGACCTTCAATTCGGCTTTCGCACATTTCATTCAACTACGCACCAATTACACAGTGTTACTGACTTCATTGCTAGAGTGGCGTATTTATGGATGTTACCCAGACATTTGATAAAGTTTGGTACCAGGAACTTCTCTTTAAACTCAAAACTACACTACCTCATACATACTATCTAATTCTTCAGTCTTTCCTTTTCGATAGATTTTTCTCTGTCCGACAGGATTTAGAAATTTCCTCAATTAGACCAGTGTCAGCAGGGTTACCTCAAGAATCAATATTGGCTCCTTTACATTACATTATATATACGCATGACATGTCCACCACCTCCGAAACATTGACTGCTACTTACGCTGACGATACCAAAATTGTAACAAAACACCATTACCCCAGTCTAGCCTCACTGAATTTTCAAAATAACATACTAAACATACAAAATTGGTATTCACTTTGGAAAATTATCTTAAATCATGCCAAATCCCAACATACACAATTTACACTTGGCGAAACACCTGCCCACCAGTTTATATTGGCGACTACAAAATTCTTCAGACGATGTACGTTTTCTTTGGCTATTATTGGGCAGAAGGATGACCTGGGACCCACACGCCAAAAAACGACAGACTTTAAACAAGCGACTGAAAAAACTGTACTCACTTTTTTTTTTAATTGAAAGTTCAACAAAAACTAAATACATACACTTACCTACTTAAATCCACATGGACATACGGCTCACAACTTTACGGTTCTGCAAAAAAGACGTACTTAAAAAAACTACAATCATTTCAATCCAAAATTTTAAAACTAATAACAGCAGCTCTCTGGTACGTAAACAACAAAACTTTACATACCGAATTACAACAACCGACTATCGACCAACACATACGTACTCTCTATTCCCGATTTCATCTTAAACTACAAGGACATCACAAGGGACTTATCAATGTCCACAGCTGACATGCCTATCAGGAGACGACTAAAAAGGAGCTGGATGAGAGATCTTTCATAAATTATGAAGTAGACCAAGATCAGAAAGAGATGCTGCTGGGTACTTTCTTTACAATGAGATCACATCTGCTTATTGTCAAGCTTATGACAGGTGTGGGTAGAAGTATGAAGAGAGAAACCTATTCACACTGTTTTTTTTTTTTATTCTTATCTAAACTGGCATTCCATCATTTTTAATGATATTTGTCGGATAAAAATTATCTAGAAATAATTCATATATTTTTGTTTTTATTTTTTTTTAATTTTCGGTGGATCAGTTATTTGTTTTTTTTTATTTATAAACTGTTTAATAGCAGTCATTTTCATATGTTTGATATGATTAGAAAAATAATTGAGTATAATGGGTCATTCTCCCTTTACATACGAATTCCTGTCCCAAAGCAAATATGGTTTCTACATGAAATTTTTGTAACCCGACTCTAACAACTAGGTGAAATGTGGTTTCATCTTAAACGTAAAGTAGTTTTAGCATGGTTATTGCTTTGTTTTTATGGTTAAATTTGAATACAAAATGTCAAAATCTATTTCCCTCATGTGTCCCATAACACGAGTTGGTAACGTTGAAGGCGAATCATTTCTCTATTTCTGCAATTATTAACTTACTTTTTTTTCTATTACCTCTGATAAGTTGCAATATTGCGAATTTTAAAATGGATAGTGAGAATAATTGCTTACAATAATAACAATGACCTCTAATGCACCTGTCCCATAGGTTCAATCTATTTCCCTCACATTTTTTAAAAAAGACCGCCAAAGAACAACCAACATACATTTCATTACACTATTAGGTAAGCAACACTCCAGTAGTGTCCGTCCAACTGAGGGTGACCTTATTTACAAATAACTTCCTCTGTTTCTTTCGTAAAGTTCGTGTTAATACAAGTGTTCGAATCACGTCATTCATTATTCTATTTCCCACTATTATGTAGTGATACCTTTTCAAAGAAGGTAAGTTTGATTCTTGTTTTATTTTCATTGAAGTACATGTTTCTAAAAGAGTTCAGAGCTCCATTTGTTTTTGTTTTGTTTTAAAATGCATGTGCATCATTAACCACAAATCAACCTCAAAATTCTAATTATCTCATCTCTATTTTCCTCACAACACTAAAAGTGAGGGAAATATATGTTGTGAGAGAAATAGAGCACAATACGATAAACTGTAATTTAAATAAGATAAAACCAGACCTTTGATATGTATATTTTCCGAGTTTAATTGAAAAATAAATCTGCAACGAGTCCCTGATTTGTGCATGGAAAAATGTATTCAATCTAGGACAGAATCCCTTCATGAAGAGTAAATATAAATAGTCACTGAACCTTTTTTTACACTTTCCAAATTTTACCCCAATACCTACATTTTTTTAAACATAATAATAAGTCACTAAAATTTATTTAAAGGAAGAAGTGTACGGATTCAGAAAAGAAAAATGTATATAATAGGCTTAGGCGAGAAAAATTGAAAAATGATCCGGAAAGTCTTAGAGAACCGACGTTAAAGGAATATCGAAAAATTTGGAGGGCTACGAATAAAAAGTGGTACTGGAACAGAAAAGCCAAAGGCGATGCAGAGAAAACTCACCACGTACCGGAACCATCAAGCGCAGTTGCTATACCACCACAACAACCCACCGATAGAATGCAGCAGGCTCTTAAATCTGCTAGAAAGCGGAAGAGACAAAATTGGTGTAAATTTCAGTTGAAAATAAAAAAAATTGGAAGATGATTATAAAAGGAAACAAAGAATTATTGAAAGATTGATGAAAGGGAGATCAGGGCAAAGCAAGCTGCTTATTCCTCCATTTCATCTCCTAAGAGTTTTTTTACTCACCGGCCACTCAGTATAGAAACCGGACATTTTTTTATCTTCAAGCCAATGCCCTCGAAGTTTATTTCACAAAACCGAAATGTGCCACGTGGAACTATTTTACTCCTGTTCACGGCAAGGGTGAAGTGGATGGAATCGGAGGTTGTTTGAAGCGAACGGCGGACACAGCGGTCGCATGTGGGCATGGTATTAGTAGCTTCGAAACATTCATAGAAATACTATTTTAATAAAAAAAAAAAAACAGAAAGTCATACAGTATGTGATGACTCCAGAAGACATTTCTGAAATATCGTACTTGATCCCAAAGTTGCTTTCGCCGTTCAAAGGCACTATGCAGGTCTACCAGATTGTATATCACCGAAATGGAACTTCTAGGAGGATTTTAAAAACTTGATTGCTTGAAATACAACAATTTCTCCATCGGATTTCACGAAATAAGTTCTGGTGTTGCTCTATTAAACACTCTTGGAAGTAGATAAAGAAACATCTGCGCTTCATCCATGGTCGCATCTTGAGACTATGGTTTGTGAACCTGAAGCTCCTATAGACACCCAACCTCATGGTATATTAATCACTGAGGAAACAACTGATGCTAATCCTGGTCAACCAAAGGAGGGGAGTTACATCATTGCAGGATTAGATGGTAAAAATGACTATCGTTACGTTTGCAGCTAGACTAGTGTGCGCAATAATGAAATAACTGCTCTTGGCCTACATTCGTTTCAAAATTCAAAACGTGATTTCACTTTAAACGGAAACGACCAGTTCTGTCTTAGACCCAATGATATTTTGATGTTATTACCGCTCCAAAAGTCAAAATTCAAAACTGGAGAATGCTGCAAGTCTTTTCGTTTGACTCGGAAGTAGTGGAAAAAGACTGAAATTTAAGTTACCACTATGATTTTATTTTGAAACTAATTATAGGCTATGCTAATAAAATCCTATAATTAGTTTCAAAATAAAATCACAGTAATAAATTAAATTTCACTCCTTTTATGTCATATATAATAATGTTTCACGATTCCAAATGTTTATTTTATTTCTTATTATTGTTCTTGTCATCTGTTTAAATGTTTATACAGTGTTAAATAATATCTTTTAATTTACTGATTTGATAATAAAAATATTTTATTAATTAAATGTTGAGTGTTTTCTATTTCCTTCACACTCTCTCTTTTTCCATCACTTTCATGATTTCAATCATGATCCTAAATGTGCATATAGACTACATTCTATGAAGGGATTTTTTGCTAGTGCCATTAGTGAACTATTGTTAAGTTGTTTATGAAAAAAAACATTTTTTTTGCATTACGTTTTTCTAATAAAATGACATTTCCGATATTTTAACAAAATGAGAGAATGGCCCTAATTTTACTTGTCTATCTTGTTTAGTCCACTCTGTAATTATTTTTCCATTTTCTCTCTTTATTTGTATGTCCAAAATTCTGATTAAATTTTCTGTTTCTATTTTTTTGTTAAATAGAATAAAAACTTTTATTGTAGTTATATAGCAGACTAAAAAAAATATCTATTTTATCATTTTCAATTATACATAATATGTCATCTGCATGTTTTAGACATAATTATGGTTTAATGTTTGAATTCTTTATTACATCTGTTAATAATTTATTCATAAAAATAACTGACAGGTTAATCGAGAGAATCGCACCCATATACCCAGATATCGTACCCAGATCTTTTACATGTTTGTATTTTTTATTATTAAAAAGTAAAAAAAAAACATTTTCAGCACGTAATTTTACACCTTCAGTGTATATATGTATTTTTATTTTTTATAACGGTATATGTTTCAATTTCTTTCCAATTTTATTCCAAGATTCTAATTATGTTTTTAATTGGTACAATTAAAAATATAATGGTGGTGTATAAGTGGTGAATAAAGATTCCACATAAAAACTTATTCACTTTTTCCTTCAATTTCATTTTTCTAATTCTTTTTTTATCTCAAACGCAATTTTTAGATCATATGCGCTATTCTTATTCAAAATGTCTAAAATTGGTTTCAAAAATTTATACAATTTATAAGTTCAGCTATCAATATCATTAACTATCGGTCTGAAATTAATTCCTGGTTTGTGGTGCTTTATTAACCCTAAACTTTATTAATACATTCTTCAGTTTTTTTTTTTGTTTTTTTGTTATTTCTATTAAGGGGTCCTTTATTAAATCTTTATAATTTTCTTCATTGTCCTCCAGATTACTCAGAAGGATTGTGAGATTAAAAGGGTTTTATAAAAAAATAATCACATATAGATTAAATATATATTCATACAACACCTCCAATTAGAATAATCCTCGATAAACACTACTGTTGAGCTTTTATTGAGAAACATCCTACATATGCTAAGAAATTGTGCCATCCAATCCAAAAGTGTTCGCTGCTGTGTTGAAAATCATTCGCAACTTTTACCAATATTGATATTGCCACCAATAGTTTTATTGATACCCGCACTGCCACCCACACTGGTTTCCATATTGATAGTGGTACTCGCACAACATTGCGTATGGATACCAACACTGCCATCCACGCAACAACCCATAGTGCCATCCACACAACAAGCCCTATTGGTACCTTTACTGTATGCAAATTTGGCACCCGCTTCGCCACCAATACCGATACCCATAAAACCGGCAATAGACGCCAGCAACCTAGAGTTGATTTTATCTTGCAATATTGGTTCTTCTAGTTCTCCTCCTAAAAATAAAATAGATTAGTATTGTTTTATATGAGAAATAAATATTTAAGGATTATATAAGTGTGAGGAATTTTTTTTTTTTTTTTAATAGCTTATTTATTGAAATATATTACAATCTGTCTCAGGGACATTAATAATAGTGTTCACAGATCACATTCACACTCTATATACAGTAAATAAAATAAATTATACAGAAAAATAATATATATACAATAAACAAGAATAAAATAACCTAAAAATAAATAAATAAAAAGAACACATGCACACCTACATACAATATTTACAACTTGGCGAGAGAACTCCAAGCCAGACTTGTCCCTCCAATTGTGGAGGGAAAAGTATGACTCCAGGAGTTCCCTGCACTCCTCTCTCAACCGCGTCACTAGGGCTAAACCCAGTGGAGATTGAGCAAGAGTGCTTTAGCCACATACACTCATGTCGTGAGTGGAGAATCTGGCCATTGGCAGAACTCCAATATTTACAAACTATAAAAGATCGCGGGGCCACTGCCGTTTTAACCTCCTTGGAGGATTATATGGATGGGTGGTGCTGGATAGAGATTTTGCAAAGGGATTTGGATGATGGGTAAGGTTCTGGTGGAATTTGGAGAATTTTGCTGGGATAAGGTCTAGGACAAATGGGATATTAAGGTCATGGTGTAGGGTTTTGTTGGTTACATAGAAAGGAGCATTGACTATTGTTCGAAGGACTTTTGATTGGAAGGATTGGATGCGTTTAATGTTAGTAAATTTTGCTGTTCCCCACAGTTCAAGTCCGTAAGTCCAGATAGGTTTCAGTATTGTCTTGTAGATCAGTAACTTGTTTTCAATGGAAAGTTTTGATTTTCTGTTTAGTAGTCGGTATAGTTGTCCGTATCGTCGGTTTAGTTCCTGTCTTTTAAGTCTAGTATGAGGGTTCCACGTTAGTCGTCTGTCTAAGAGAAAGCCAAGGTACCGGACTGTGTCCGAGAAAGGAAGCTGAATGGAATTAAAGTGTACTGGTGGACAGGAACTGCGTCGGAGCGTGAAGGTGATGTGTTGGCATTTGGATTCGTTTACTTTAATTCGCCATTTATTACACCAGTGTTCAATCAGGGAGAGATGTCTTTGAAGGTTTAAGGATGCTATATCAGGATCTGAGTCGGATGATAGAATGGCGGTGGCATCAGCAAAAGTTGCCAGGAAGGTATCGGGATGGACAGGGATATCAGCGGTAAAGAGGATGTAAAGGACGGGACCCAATACGCTACCTTGAGGAACACCTGCCTCAATTAGATAGCAATTCGATAATTCACTACCGCAGCGAACTCGGAAGGTACGATCTGAGAGGTAGGAACGGATGACAAGGTACAAGGACTGAGGAAGATAGGTTTTCAGCTTGGAAAGAAGCCCGGCGTGCCATACCCGGTCAAAAGCTTGAGCTATGTCCAGAAATGCACCCGAGCAATATTGCTTGCTTTCCAATGCTGCGGAAATATGATCGACCACTCGGAGTCCTTGTTGGACTGTGGAGTGTTGTGAACGGAATCCGAACTGATGTGAAGGAAAATTTTGGGATTCTATAAAGGGTAGGATTCGTTTCAGGAGGATCTTTTCAAAGATTTTTGAGAGAATCGGAAGTAGGCTAATTGGTCTGTAGGACGTTGAGGTGTTGGGAGGTTTGCCTGGTTTCGGAAACAGGATAATAGTGGAATGTTTCCACAAAAGAGGAAAGTGGGTGGTTCTTAGGATGGCATTATATAAGTAGGTGAGAAATATAACAGCTTTAGGAGGAAGTTGTCGAAGGATTTGAGAGGTAAGGAGGTCGTATCCAGGAGATTTACGGAGAGGAAGTTTTTGTAAGTGATGTTTGACCTCAGAAGGATTAACTGCTTTAGGTGGCAAGGAAAGTGGAATGGGAGATGTAAGGAATTCTTCTACTGTTCTGGTATGGGTGAGGTTGGATTCCGGATGAGAGGTAAATGTTCTGGAGAGGTGTCTGGCGAATTCCTCAGCTTTATCTTCATCAGACGCTGCCCAGGAACCATCGCTTCGACGAAGGGGATGGGAAATATGATGGGATTTTAGGATTTTGTTGGTGATCTTCCATAGGGAATTGTCATGAACAGAGAGGGAAGTAAGGTAGGAGTTGAAGGATTGGGATTTGAAGGTGGCCAATTCCTGCTTTAATTGTTTACTGTAAAAATTATAGGAACTACGATCGATGGGGTGTCTCGTACGTTGCCATAATAATCTGGCGCGGCGTTTGGTATGGATTAGGTCTATGAGGTGTTGAGGTAACTTATTTTTCTTGGGAGTTCTTGAGGAGTGGTTTGGAGAGGAAGCAGTCCAGATTGCTTGTTGGATAGTGGTGGTGAAAAGGTGTACGGCATTGTCAAGGTCATCTGGGGTTTTTAGGGTTATTCTGAGGTCAATTTTATCGGATAGGATTTGGTGATAGAGTTTCCAGTTAACTGGGCCTCTGATGAACGACGGTGGAGAAGACTTAGGAATAGGAGCAAGAGATAATTGGAGTAATAATGGACTATGATCTGAGGATAGTTCGGCAAGACGGGTAAGGGAATGATTGAGGGAACCTAAGCCACTGTGGATGAAAAAATCAAGGATATCGGGATTGCGGTTAGGATCTGTGGGCCAGTAGGTAGGTGACTTAGGAGGAAGGATACTGAACCGTTGGGAATTGAGTGCAGATAACAATGTTCTGCCACGAGAGTTCGTGGTTCTAGAACCCCATTGATGGTGTTTGGCGTTTAAATCTCCACCCAGGATGAAATTATGACCTAAGGAGTTGAGGAGAGAACTGAACTGGACTTTGGATATGGATCTGTTAGGAGGACAATATGCTGATGCAAGGGTGACTGGAAAGGAGAAGGTTTTGATTACAATAGCGGTTGACTGTAGGAAATCTTGAGTGGGTAATGGGAGTAAGTGATGGGAGAGGGATTGGTGTACGATGACAGCAGTACCGGCATGTGCTCTGCCGTCAGGATGGTCAGTACGGTATGTTAAATACTGTGGGATTTTCAAATGCTGTTTTATGGTCAGTCGAGTTTCTGTAATAAGGGCTACGTCAATGTTCTTGTCTTGTAGTAAAGCTGTTAGTTCGTCAACGTGATTTCTAACACCATTCGCATTCCAAAGGAGAATGGATATGGGTTTTGGGATGTGAGTCATTAAGGATTTTTCAAAGGAGGGATTAGGTGATGAGATACGAGATTTGTAAGGAGTGATATGAGTGGAGTAACTAGGGATTTGAAATCGGTGAGGAAAGATGCTAACAAACTGGTGAGATCTGTTGCATTTGAAGGAGGAGGAATTTGAGGTTGTTGATGATTATGTGTGTTAGGATGAACAGAATATTGAGGTTGGGGCTGAGGTAGTTGCTGCGACAGGGCTTCACATGTATTATTGGGGTTCTTACCTCCAAATAGTTCGGAGTATGATAAATTATTATTAACTATTCTAGAAGGTTCTCTTCTTGGTCTGGTTGTCTCATCTTGAATCCGGTTCTTCTGGTATCTGGATTTGAGGCTCTTATAGGTTTGGCAGCCTTTGTAGTTGGCCGGGTGTCCCTCCTGGCATAGTGCACACACTGCAGGATCTTGTATTGGTTTGGTGCACTCCACAGATTTGTGCTGTTCACCGCATTTCACGCAACGCGGCAGATGGTGACAATAAGTTTTCGTGTGGCCATACGCCTGGCAATTGTGGCACTGTACAATTTCCTTCTTGGGGTATGGCTTCTCTATCTTCACGATAGTGTAGTACAATCTCTTGATGTCATATATTTTTTCAATACCAGGTGATGGCTCTAGATCCACGAAAAATAAAGGTAGTGGAACCTTATTACTTACTCCTGGCTGCTCCTTATTCTCCTTCAGAACGTTGGTTACCTGACGCACTTTGAAACCAAGCGTCGCTAGTTCTTCTTTTATAACTTCAGTTGGGGTTGAGGAGTGTAAATTTCTTACCACCACTCGTAGCGATCTCTCCTGTTTCAGCTGGTACGTGTGGAAATTTGCATTCGTTTCGGACAGGTACTTCACAATTTTTCGGTAGGCTTCTGCAGTATCAGGTGTTATTTTTGTGTCGATAGTCCTGTTGAGGTAAGAATAACTGCCTGAAGGAGGTCTTGGTTCCCTAGGTACTGCTGCTGACTCCATTACTTCTCTGTCATTATGAAGCACTTGGAACGGGTTTGGAGTGAAGAAAGGAGATTCTTCAACCATTTCTTGTGAAGAGGTACCTGGTTGAGGCTGAGGTTCTGTACCTGAAGTTTTCACTGTGGTTGGAGCAATTTCTCGCAGGCAGCGACGAGTTCTTTGTTTCGCTGGTGAATCACGAGGGGTACTAACACCGTCTGACCGAGTCCTCTTAGTGGGCACCTTACTGGACATCACTTGCTGGCAATGCCGCATATCATAAGAGAAAAAAAAATTAAAATTAAAAAAAAAAAAAAAAAAAAAAAATTAAAAATTAAAAAAAAAATGTAGCAAACAGTAAATAACAACTGCTCTAGTGTACACTTCAACTGTATTGAGTAAATAATCAAAGAGATTCCGCTGAAAAATAGGCAAAAACTGAGAGAAGATTTCAGAACACGTCCTTCGCATCAGCTGATCCACTGCCTTCTCGTGAGGAATTAAATGTTATATTTAGATGTTGATTATCGTTAAAAAAACGAGATGTAAAGTTGGCGAAAACCCCGGCTGCGGTAGATCAATGACAGAAAAGATCTCATCCGTATGAGAGTAAGAAAATAGAGAACTGCTATGTATAGGGAAGTTTGTTTCTGAGGTCCGTTAAGGAGTGCTTAATAAAATAATAAGAATAATAATGCCTGACCAAGATATATACATTTATAACATAATAACATCATTTTGATTTTCAAGAAGTGAATATTGGCCCAGGAGAGTGTGGTCGTGAGGATTTTACTCATTTAGAGAAATAAACATCTATATTTTCCTAGTATTTCATTTGTTTCGCTTCTACTTTTCCTC